CCAATACAATTTTTATAGAACTTACATCCTTTTTTTGTTTTTTTACTGTTTTTTTTTTGGAATTTATTCATTGTTTTATAACTTCAATTACCAAAATTGTAGTTAGCTTAACAAACTGGGCCGAAGTAAATAGTTTATAATAGCAAAAAGCAATACCTTTGTAATTTTTTTTTCTTTGACTTATATTTAAAATAAAATATGACAGTTAAGTTGCAGATTTGTTAAAAACATTTACGTATTGTCAGCTATCTAACAAGGTATAAGAGTCTAGGATAGTATCAGAATGCATAGAAAAAAACTGAGATGAAAAACCGGGAGTATTAAGAATTAGTGTATAACCCGGTAGTAACTAGTTGAAAACTTATATTCAGTGCCGGATTAAGACAGCGCGGGGCCTGTAGCAAATTCTACCAAGGGCCCCTTGGGTTGTTTTAGGTTATCTAGTTTATGGTATTTATCATCATCCTCAACAGTCTATTGCTGGATATGGGCTTCTCCTTAGAAAGGAGATTTTTGTTTGCTATGATACGCTGGCCAGACGGGTTGGTTATACCAGTCTCAAATTTGAAACAAACCCTACTTGGGCTTGTTTTAAGGTTCAAGAAACATGTATTATCTAAATTATCTAAATGTCTATTGTGCAGTTTGTGTTGTATGTTTACTATTGTGTCATTATTGATTTATTACTAAATGTTAAGTATAATATTAATATTATTCTTATTCTGGGTTTGAATATAAAAAGCATGTTTACTCAGCCTAATACAATTGCACGCCACTGTTAAAATAAGTCTGAGCTTATAAAACATATTTTATTCTGGCGCCCTAGCGCCAGGCGTCGACACGGTGCTTTAACCATGGTTCTAACTGCCAATGCCCTCATTGGCAGTTAGAACCATGGTTATAGCACCGTGTCGACGCCTGGCCGGAACACTCTCGTGGGATTTGGGAAGGAAGTGGTCGGCCCCCATCCGAAGAGGAGCGCGAGGGGCGTAAAGCCTCTCGCCGAGCCACGATGGCTCGTTGGTCGGTCCAGCCTGGAGGCTCCACGAGCTTGCTTTGCCGCCGTAGAGGCACTCTAACCAGTCGTTAAGTTGAGGCCAATCGTTGAGTGGGCAGAGCGTCCAGAGCAGAGCAGGTTCTTTCTGGGTACGGCTGATTCTGCAATCGTTCGATAGGAGGGAATTGAATCCCGCCTGTCATCACTCCGATTGCAGTGAGGACGCGGCTCAGAACACGCGGGCAATTTGCTTGGCTTGGGCGTCACACGCAGCGTTGGGTCGCAGTGCAAAACATAATTTTATAAATGTACTAAAACTTTAAATTTTTTACTTAACACATCACACACACGGCTGTATGTTTCCTAACTAGGCAGAGCCTGTACTATTCTAACCAGACTGCTGATAAACATACTTATATATTTCGCAATATATACATATTATAGATAAATTACACCCAGACACAGAACAAATCATAGTGCTTATCACACAATTATTTGTCCTGGGTGGGTCCACGACCTCTAGCTTAACAGGCTCACTAACCACTAAACCAACAGGCCCGTCAAATTATAGTTTGACATTTAGATGCAACTCTTTCGTGATAAGAATTTTGGCTTTATTGATTTGAAAAAATATTTTCACACTCCGGTCGAAATACGAGTAAGTAAATACTTTTTTACGGTCAGAAAGAGCGGGGGGCCCGAAATGCGCGGGTCCCGTAGCGTTTGCTACTCTTGCTACGTGGCTAATCCGCCAGTGCTTAAATTAGGTCCTTACATATGAAATTGGCGTGTTGTACGGTTGGAATATGAAGTCAATTTTTTTTTGTTAAACTGTTAATAAAAAAACCTCTGATTCTCGCCTCCATGAGAATCAATAAATTCTTTGAAGGCAGTTTGGACTGCTGCATCGGAGTTGATTTTTTTTCCTTGTAAGTAGTTGTCCAAATTCCGGAAATAATGGTAATCTGTTGGAGCAAGGTCCAGGGAATACGGTGGATGTCGCAGACATTCTAATTGGAGCTCATCTAACTTAGTGGTTGTTTGTTGTGCAGTGTGTGGTCTTGCGTTGTCGTGAAGCAGCAGTGGCCTAGAGCGATTGACCAATCTCGGTTGTTTAGCAGCTAGTTCTTCCTTCATGGTTTGCAGTTGCTGACAATATATATCTGCCGTAATCGTTTGGCCAGATTTTAGAAAGATGTGGTGAACGACACCGGCGCTAGTCCACCAAACACTCACAAGTAACTTTTTCTAAGTCAATTTTCGTTTAGGGCAGGATTTAGGTGGGTCTTCAGGCTTCAAGTGGTTTAATACAGTTTTATCACTTACCCCGAAGCCTGCAGCTATCTCTGAAGTGCTTTGTGATGGATCCTCTTCCACAATAGCCTTTAATGCTTCATTTTCCACTTTAGTCTCCGGTCGCCAAGGGGGTTGGTTCTGAAGGTCGAAATTTCCAGAACGAAAACGTTGGAACCAAAAACGTACCGTGCATTCTTTTGCGACACCAGCGCCGTACACATCATTAATCCCTCGAGCTGTTTCTGCAGCACTGGTGCCACGGTAGAACTCGTAGGTACTCGTAAATATACCGATATTTCATGTTGTCCATTGTGCGGTAATAAGCGACGCCAAAGAAAGAAATAATGAGGAAACAAAGGAATGACTGTTTTCAAAACTCAAATGTACAGTCTAAATGAATTTATAAATTTGAATTTGGAGTTCTTAACCAAAGAGGAGGTATTTCAGATTAAAGTGGTCAGTACGACAAAACACTAATTTCAAATAAGGACCTAATATTTTGGGACTTATTCGAAATCCCATATCTAGAAAATGTTTGTTTGTTTGGATGTTTGTTACATAATAATTATAGGTTTTACAAGTGTAGGATATGGAAATAATGACAACTACAACCCCTTAAAGCATCTAGGTCGGCTTAACCAGTAACCCTGTATATACTGTAACCATATGTAGTAAGTTTATTAGTGTATGTACTTAGTTTAGTGTATGTACTTATCATTAATTACTTAAAGTATAAAAGTACACCACAGACTACCCAAAATCAAATTCGACAATATCCATGTTGTTCAGGGTCTCGATAGGTAACGTATAAATAAATAGGCAAAATTTAAGAGGACGTACATTTAGTATTGTGTTATAAGTTACACGGACGGTGACAGAGTAAAAAGTAAAGAAAAATAGAAGTCAATTTAACTTCATCAAAGACAGGCTTAAAACTAAGAAGTGCGTGATTGCTATAAATCTTATAGTAGGCGTTATTTTGCAACATGCCCCCGGGCTTTGGAAGCTTGCCTTTCAGCAAAACTTCACTTGGAAGCTTCAGGTAAATAGGATTTTTTGTTTAAAGGCCCTTCTGACCACTCATGCGCTCGTTCTGATTTCAGCAACTCTAGTGATGCCATCTGAACCAGGATGAACGGCGACGACTCGGCCCAAGTGCCACTTCAATGGTGGTAAGTTGTCCTGCTTGAGAATGACCAGGGAATTCAATTTCAAGGGTTCATTGGTCGTCCGCCACTTAGTCCTTACGTGAAAGTTTTAACTTTTCTACTAAATCGGCTCGATTCCGTAAAAAAGTAATAAAACATTCGAGTGTAATGCAATCATCTTTGTTCAAACGTCTTTTGAATTCACAAAAAGATTTTATGTCTAATTTACTAGAGACAATGTGTATGAGAAACAGTATATGTAGTATAGTATATATTATATTATATAGTATAGTAGTGTATGAGTCCCAGTGTGTTACAGGTTCTCCTAGTGATTCTAAAGCGCGTAAATTTTTATTTAGGTTATCGATTAAAAGCTTTAAGGTGATAGACGACTCTTTTGGGACTAGTTCGATATTAAATAAAGCCGTAACATGATTTTGAATTAACAATCACTGGTTGTCGAATCTATCACAAAGAAGTTTCCATGCAACCTGATAGTTCTTAGATGAGAATACGATCGATTGGGTAATTGAATAGTAGGCAACTTGACGAGTTTATAGTTGCTAGAATTTGAACCACTGCAACTACTCTTACTATCGGTTAACCAATAAAACTGGTTTTATTAACTGTATAACTTGAAATATTGAAGGGGTAGTTAGTACAGTTATTAGAGAAAGAAATGCACAAATATATATATAATACATAACATTGTGTTATTAAATTAATAACACAATGTTATGATCGTTAGTTAGTTAAATAGTTAATATTTGCGTGATTTTATTAGTCTATCTTATTCTAATTACTTTTGGCGCCTTCTTTAAAAATTATCCTAGGCCACCGTAACGCTACCGTTATTGGACGCGCTTTTACGGACACTTTTCATACACAGAGATGTTTCTTCCTTGCCTTTACCTTCCATAGTTTAGTGAACGATAACAGACGTAGTCACGTGAACTTAATTAATTAAATACATAATTATACATATTGGATTAAGGAGTAAAATCATCATTTTTAAATTATTTTCGATAAGTGGTCAACACCCGGACTCACCAATGAATTTTACTACACGAAACAAATTAAAATCGAAATAATAAGTTTTAAATCCAATTATAATATCTGGCAGCCCCGGAAAGTAGGTGCTTACCATAAACAAGAATTAGGTGCCTTCCATAAACAAAAATTATTCATGACGTCGGAGTAGTTTGCAAGCCAATCACCGTACTTCATCTCATTCTTTCCTTTCTTAGTCGTTGACGTGATCGTTGTCGTTGGTTAGGTTGAACACTTCGTTCCGCTATATTCTTTAATCTTTCATTCATTCTGTGGTGCGGGTTGTAGTGCGCTGTGCGGTGTACTGTGTAGTGGTGTGTTATGTCGAAATATTTCTCGCAAACATTTTATTAAAGCTTTCTATGCTAAAGTCAATCTGATATTAAATATATCGTTTTTGACTCTATCTCGATTTGAAAGTATAATAAAGTCGAGTTTCATTTGTACAATGTCAGTTTGATTAAATATTTATGGCAGTTACAATAAATTTATAACCAAAAACTGTGACAATGTCTTTCAATTCCACGCTTGATAGCTTCTGTGGATCAACATTTTGGGTAAGTAGGCCTACCATTTTTCATGTTTTATGTCGGTCATCCAATAAGAAAAGTTGTTGAATGTCAAACCAAGTACTTAATTAGAATACCTCAATATTAAAAAATGTTATTAATGCACTATAAAATAATATAATAATATAAATTACTAAGAAACTATCCAGTTTTGCAGAAATTATGATAGTTGGAAGGTCAATTTGCTAAGAGAAATGTGCAAAGATTATTGTTTAATTACAGACCTAATAAGCTACAGATGTGCTTGACATTAAATTAACTAATTTCACCTGTTATAAAATTTATTAAGACTAGGGCTTTTCTTTCTGATACTAAGTATATCAAAGTCCTAGAATTAAATTATTGTAACTATTGTGGGTTGAAAATGAAACTCCTTAAATTAGTGACAAAATTTGGATCACAAGTCTGTTCACAATAGAAATAAAAAATAAGAAACATGAAAAAATATTGATAATATGAAAACTTTTAATGTCTGTTTAAAAATGTCACCTAGTGTTTATAATTACTGAAAACAATATTCTTTTAGATTAAATTTTCATAAAGGTGTAGGTAGGCAGTCATATTTATTGTAGGTACAATTTGTTTTAATATAAATTAATTAGTGAAGTATTTTCTAAGTCTATCTCTAAGTAATCAACCTCATCAATTACTTAGTGATTACAGATAGCTTTAATAAATTTATTTGAGTGCATGTTTTAGTTAAAGCATGAATATAGTGGTAGGCTTAAAGCAGTATTAATCAACTTGAAAATTAATATTATCTAAGTTGACATTCTATTCAAATAATACAAATAAATAATTATTTCTAAAGGTCCAAATAAAAAAAATATCTCAATAAAATCTAAGAGAAAATTTAGTTTTAAGTAAATCATAACAGTAAGTAACATTTTTAAACAGATATTAAAAGTTTTCAAATTATCAATATTTTTTATATTTCTTATTAGATATAATATTGTGAACAGACTTGTGTTATATAGTAGATTATCTCTGAAGCTGTCCTATAACAAATTAAAAAAATGTAGATCTAAGAATAGCAAAAAATGATCAGTTATTATAAGGGCTCGGCTTTCCATTGACATCCGTTGAGTTGGGGGTTGATATTTTATTTACAGAAAGGTTACACACACACAAAGTTTCAACTTGCAGTATGTGTGCATGAAAACTATTGAAACAAGTACAAAATATAATTATTTACATAAATTTATATAAAATGTTTCCGAACTTATGACAACTAAAACGAAATGTTCAATGCTGAGAATTCTAAGTAATTTGTGGTAGGGATTAACATAAATATTGCAAAAATAGTTTATTTCAATTTTTTTTTTCTCAAAAACTATGCATCTCCGCATGTTGAAACTTTGCTTGTTGCATGTAACATTTCTGTAAAAAAAATATCAACCCCCAACTCGATGGCTGTCAGTGGAAAGTCATACCATTATAAGTATTGAATACAATATTATAAAAAAAATGCAAAAGTTAATTCATTTTTGAGTAAAAAAGGAACCCGTTCAAATCGGTATAGTTTCTACTTATTGTACACTTGTGATTTTACTAAAAATATAGCTAAACTCCTTAAAGGAGTTTTTGTAAAAAAACATTGAAATAAATTTTCAACTCAGAAAAAGTAAATGTTGTGAATAATTATTTGTGTTTTGTGTGTACATAGTTAATATTTGTTCAAGTTTGGTGAAAATGAATTTAAAAAAAACGAGTGTGGTTTAGGCCACAAGACTGAAGTAAAACTTCTTGCCTATGGAGAAAGATAGAAAGAAAATGTGTGCTCGCACCTCTCTCTCTTGGCCCTACAGTAATACACACTTTTCGTAAGGCTTTTGGCAGCATTCACCAGCTTACTCCCCAAGTCAAGTGTGCATAAACAAGCTTTACTTCAAAAATACTTCTGGAAAAATAATTATAAAGTTATAAATATTTATTGTTCATGATAAATTATACCTTTTTTTTTTTTTTTTTTTTTTTTTTTTTTTTTCGTGCGGAAATCCCCTCGGATACCACCTGTCGGTGGCATGTCGGACACGAACCGACTAAAACCGCACGCCTTCGCCGGGTACTAATAGCCGGGGAACCAGGTATACCCTAGAAAGGAAGGCCCTGGTGCCCCGACATACCTCGGGTCATCTACAGACGAGTAGACGACCCCCGCCCCGTGTGGGAACCCCATGTTCCCTGTGCTCCCTGGAAGCGAGCGCGCTTCGCAACGCGCTCGCCGCCGCCCCGGCCTGCTTCTGCTAGGGTGACAGATGGCCTCACCTGTCACCCCCAGGCCTGCGCTTATGGAGGACGAAGGTCGTTCTGCGACCTCCGGCGCCTGAGTCGCCTGCGCTGCCTGGCCCGTGCCCGGGCCTGGCGGGCCGGGAGAGTTCTAAACCTCTCCCGGTCCCGCTCCGCCGTCTCCTTCGCGAGCATAACTTGCTCGCAGAAGGAGACGGCAGAGTTCCACGCACTCTCGCTCCGCACGATAGCCGCAATCAGGCTATCGAGCGAGAGAACTCCCACTCCGATGGCCGCCACGAGGTCTCGCCTCTGCTCAACCCACGCCGGGCACTCTGCCAGCGTGTGGAGAGCCGTGTCCACGGTCTGGCCATCGCAGTGGTGGCACTCAGGCGTTGGCTCCTTGCGGATCAGACACAGGTGATCTCCGAAACATCCCTTCCCAGTGATCACCTGCGTCAATCGGTATGAGAGGGTCCCGTGACGCCTCTCGAGCCAATCCTCCATAACGGGTCTTACCGCCGCAATGACGGCGTGCCCGGCGCTCGGTTGCCCGAGTCGTTCCCTCCACTCCCCTATGATGACCTGGCGGAGTTGGGATTTCCGGTCATCGATTTCTCGAATCTCGGGGTATCGACCCAACTCCTGCGCCTCCTTGCGCCACTGATACAGTGCTGCAAGGGCTCTCGCCTCCAGGTCCCACGGTGGAGTTCCGGCCAGGAGACTCGCCGCCTCGAAGGAGATCGTGCGGTACCCCCTTATGATCCTGATGGCCAGCATTCGCTGCGGTCGCCGCAGTATCGCGACGTTGCTGGCCTTCAGGGCCCCCGCCCATACTGGGCACCCGTAAAGGGCCATGGACCGCACAACCCCCGAGTAGAGTCTCCGGCAGGAGTCATCGGGTCCCTTCATGTTGGGCAGCAGCCGCGCCAACGCACGCGCTGCCCCAACCAACTTGGGGACCAGACCTCGGAAATGATATCCGAAGTCCCATCGGCCATCGAGTACGAGCCCCAGATACCTGATCGAGGGCTCGATGCCGATGCGAGTGCCTCCTACCGTGAGGCTAGATCCCTCAGGCGGCTTCCTCCGAAGCCCGTGGAAGAACAGGGCCTCGGACTTGTGCAGAGCCACCTCGAGACCCAGCCGCCGGATACGCTCAACGACTTGGGCAACCCCGGCCGTGGCCCTCAGGGTTGCCTCGTGGTGCGTCTTGCCGCGCGCCGTCACGAGTGTGTCGTCCGCGTAGCACACGACGGCGACACCATCCAAGAAGGCACCACGAAGCACCCAGTCGTAGCCGATGTTCCACAAGAGTGGCCCTAACACCGACCCCTGCGGAACACCGCACGACATTTCACGCCTACCGAGACCGGTCCTACTGGGGTAGACGACGGCTCTCTCCGACAAATATGCCCCGACTATGCGGCGGAGGTAGAGAGGCACTTCGTGATACACGAGCGCCTCCCTGATGCAGCTCCAGGGCATAGTGTTGAACGCGTTGGCGATGTCCAAGGACACCGCCAACACCACTTCGCCCCGGGAGACTGCTTCCTCCGCCAGAGCCTTCACGCGCATGATCGCATCCACGGTGGAGCGCCCCTGACGGAAACCGTACTGGTTGTCCGCCAGATCCGGCCCAACCATCACGAGATGCTTGACGAGGCGCCTTGCAATCACTCTTTCAAAGAGCTTGCACACCTCGTCAAGCAACACTATGGGCCGGTAGGCGGACGGTGAGTCCGCCGGGCGCCCCTCCTTTCGGATGAGGACCAGTTTCCCCGTCCTCCACAATTTCGGAAACTGGCCCCGCTCGAGGCATGCGCTGAAGAACCCTCGCAGTCGGGGCTCGAGAGCCTCGTCGACTAAGGCCAGGACCCACGCTCGGCCAGGAATGCCATCGGGTCCCGGGGCGGTGTTTTTGGCTTTAAGCCGTAACACCGCCACCCTTAGTTCCACCCCAGTGACCTCAGGCACGTCGTCGTCATCCACGTTAGGCGCCTCAAGCGCCGGAGGCGGAGCCATCTGTGGCGGAGTATGCTCCACCACTCGCGTTGGGAACAGGGAGCCAACGACCCTCTCAAGCAGCTCTGGCTGAAGACACCGTGTGAGCGGCGGGGCCCATGGGCGCATCTTGCCCCTAACCATACGGTAGGGGCGTCCCCACGGATCCCGCTCCAGTGTCTCCAGCATCTCGCGGCGGGCCTCGCTCTTGGCCCGCTTTATCGCTGCCTGAAGGGTCCTCTTGGCAACCCTGTAACCCGCTAACAGCTCCGCCTCTCTCGCTGCCGCATCTTCGGGGCGGCGACGCCTCCTGCGGAACCTGGACCACCGGCGGCGCGCGGTCACGCAGGCTTGACGCAGCCGTGCGATCTCCGGCGACCACCAGTAGACCTGGCGCCTTGCAGTATTGGGCTGAGCCCTAGGCATCGCCGCATCGCAGACGCGGGTCATGGCCTCCCGGAACCACTGTGCTTCAGCATCGACGTCGACAGGCCTGTCCGGCGCAGGAGCCCAGGCCTGTACGATGGCGGCTTCCAGGAGGAGGTCGCGATCTAAGCGCTTGAGCGCCCAACGTGGTTCAGGTGGTGCCGGTCTGACCGGCGCGCCATCTGCAGGGGCGGAGACGTCAAACCGAATATATCGGTGATCCGAACCTGTCTCCTCCCCGACAACGACGCGCCAGCCTTGGACACGACGCGCTAGCGAGGGGCATGCGAACGAGATGTCCACGATCGAACTACCCCTCGCCGTCACGA